GGCGTCTGACTATTCTCAAATCCCTGAGTGTTAGTGTTTTGTTGTGTTCCCAATCTAAAATCCCCGAAGATTGTTCATCCTTCATGCTCACCTGCACTGTCGTGCTGATCCCTACACTGTTGTTGTTGGGACTCGATATGTGAATAATATGGCTGGGATAGGGTGGCCTCAGAATCATCATCTCTCTCATTTTTTCTTTGAATAATATGGATTAAAAAAAAAATAACAAATTTTCAAAAAAATCGATCATGGATTAAAAAAAAAATCACAAATTTTCAAAAAATTCTATCATGGATTACAAAAAAAATTCGATCATGGATTAAACATTACAGCCCACTCTCCATGCCCATCACTACCATGTTCAAAAAAAAAAAAAAAAAAATGAAATTTCCAAAAATATTTACTAAATAAACCATTTTTGAAGACCTAAAGGAGGTGCTTTTTACTTTTTATTATTCAAGATTGTGGTTGTCAAAACAAATTTCGAATCAAAATCCAAATCCCCATGTGGAAATGTCTCCTAACCTTTTCCGAGCAAACGTGGTAATGAAAACCAGTCACCATTGTGCACAGGTGTGGGACAGGAAATACGTTGCTTAGGATTGTTTGAATGGTTTCGTAAAGCCTTTGTGTCTCCCTAAAGAAGGGTGTTTGGCACCTTTTTTTCCATTAGAAACTAAGGTTTCCAAAACCCTAAAATAGGCCCATTTTAGGGCTTGGAGGAAGCATCAAAGTGACTCAAGTTGCGGTAGGCAAACTGCTTTCTTAGCCTCTCTCTCTCTCATACAAAACCTTAGCAAGGTGGATACAGCAGGGCTGGTAATGGGGCATGTAGCCGGGCTCTAAAAAATTAGGGCTCATGCTACAAAATGTTGCTTGTGGGCTGAGGATGGGGCAGACCAACCTTGGCCCTAGCCCTAGTCACTATGGGGTAGGCCCTTGTTGTGTCTGGCCCTTGCCCTAAGTCGAGATTAGGCTAGATAAAAAATAAAACACATCAAAAGAATAAAAAGAACGAGGGGAGGGCCAAGTTGGACCGGGTCATGTTGTGACTATGGCCCGACCAGGCCACTGGCCGTCAGGCCATATTTTGTGGCCCAGGCCCTAGTTTTCTAGGGCTGGGCTGACCATGCAGGGCCGAGCCACCCGGCCCATTGCGACCCATAGGATACAGCCTTAAAAGCTAAGAAAGGAATCTTTCCTTTGAATAAAAGAAAGGAAGTCAATTTCAGCTTGGACAACTCCTTTCTTTGTGAGCAATGGCATCTTAAATCGTTTTCAAATTTTTGCAAAGCATTGGACAACATGGTATCTCGAATCCTAACCTTCGACGCAACACCACGTCGACTTCGCATCCATCCATTAAAATATTATCACTTACAAACAAAGCAGCCTCAAAAAAGCCCGCCAACTTTCTATGGACCATCGAAGAATCAAGTTGTCTTTGAAAATAAAGAAAATTTTACTTTTTTTTTTTAAAAGAAGGAAATGGTTTGTGGAAGGATACAACTTACTTATGGAGTAGCTGTGTTATGTTATAAAAGATGTGTCAAATCTTCACTATCTAATAAAAATGGATTAATGCAGCTTATGCAGTGATTGTGTCCAGCTATAAAAGAAATGTCAAAGTTTCACTATCCAACTAAAATGGACTGTGTTGCAGATGCAACTTACTTATGGAGTAATAGTGTTGCGCTATAAAAAATATGTCAAATCTTCCACTATCCAACAAAAATGGATTGTGTCATTGCCTTATATGGACTTTTGAAAATAGGCTAACGTCTTGGTGGTAGTATTAACGAGCCTTATGAAGGAATCTCTAACTCCATTTTTACCAAAAAGTAGGGTTTTTTTTATTTATATGATCTCTACGTTTTTTGGAAAAATAATTTTTTTTAGGTAATTCAGTAGAGAAGATTGTCCCTACCTTTTATGGGAAAAGCATTAATTCCTAAAGAAACGAAACATAATTGCAATGCATCTGCAACATAATACATTGTTCAAAAACCACTCAAAATATAAGAGCGTCTACCAACCTAGTTGGTTTGATTAGAAAACAGGTGGCTAAGGGCATTTTGTTTTTCTATACATTATTATCATCATAGCGTTTTTTCAAATTTGGGATCGGCTACACGAATTTTATAAGTTTTGACACAGTTTTACGTTGGCTGTCTGCCTAATACAACTCACCTCTTTTACCTGAACGTAAGATGGGTTAAAAGAAAGTTTAATATCCTCACCCTTCTTAAACCAAAGTTTCAAAAATATTTTTTTGGATTTTAGCGCAATCACTAGCTGCGTGGTAACATCCACAGGGCTAGTAGAATTACCTTTAAACCAAAGATAAATAATTTTATAATATATTTTTCAATTTAAATAATCCAAATAAACTGCTGGTTGTTAAATTCATTGCCTCAAATATATGTTCCTCATAGCAAGCAGTAAGATATAAGTAGTGGCAAATCATGGTTAAAAAAGTCCGAATAAATTGCGTAGAAAAAATCATGTTTCCATTGCTTATATTCTTTATGGCCTATCCATGCCACCAATTTCAAGCATAAGCTCACAAATAACATGATCAGGCATCAAAATGAACTCTCTCTCTCAATAACATGATCATTTGTCAAAATGAACCCTCAACAAGTCTTATCTTTGTCGGGTGCACTCATGCATAGATAGAGATTCTCACGAATACATAGCAACAGGAAAGGACAATGAATGCTCCAACATGAACTCGAGTAGCCTTTGACCCTTTTTCTAAAAGAGAAATTTTCCTGCTTTTTGACTGCCATCACCCCCACACCATTTTCAAAAAAACAAACAGTGAAAAAAATAGTGACTGAGATTGTCATTATGTACATAATCAATGGTGACTTGCATCTTATATGTAAATTACTGTCATTTTGCACAACCCATCTTCTTCTCTCTTGAATAATTTAAGGAAGGGGATCAGCAATAACATACATGCGAATATACATTAGTATCATATGAATGCCCCATCCATCTTTCTCACTCTAGAATAATATAATTTTCAAGCCTCGTGCTTCTCTCTAGGCTAACACAATTTTTGAGATCCATCTCTCTCTCTAGAATCATCTTTCTCTCTCTCTCTAGAATCATCATTTTGATTTCCACTAACCCAAGTCAGCAACTAAAGCATAGAGCCGCGCCACCCTAAACCTTTAACTTTTGCTTTTCCCTCCCTTTTTTTTCCTCTCAAAACCCACACTGATCACATTCTGCACACTCAAGAAGTGAGATAACATCATTATCCAATGAACCCATTCACAATGAAAAGGAAAAAATTATAAATAATGAACATGAAAAATGGAGATAACAAAAAGGATCCAATGAATGTATTGTGTAATTCAATCTCACCTTTATATCTTCTCTCTTTTCTATTAATTTTCCTTCTTTTTCTTTTCCCCCTTTTCTCTCTCCCCTGTGCCAGCTTTATGGCCTGCCTTTCTTTTGCTTTTCTACCTCATTCTGGATTCCTTTGCTTTAGGCCTTCAATTCGCAGAATGATAAAACCAATTGGGTCTCTTGCGCTTTACTTCAAAAACTCAGTACTCTGCTTCAAGGAGAAAAACGAATGGGTCATTTGGATGTTAAGTTCCTCTTCTTCATCCTCACCAGTCTCACACTCTGTTGCTCAGGTATGTAGAACCTCTCTCTCTTCTACCATAGACCACAAATGCTTGAAATTTCCTAGAAAGAGTACAAAATGAGTATGATTCAATGAAAACAAATAATGAATCTGATTATTTCTTCCATTTCCTGCTTCTGACTGTCTCCTCGATTTAGAGAGATCATTTTCCAAAAAATGGGGTGTCTTTGTATACTTGAGTGTTGAATATATTTCTTGATTAAAATTTGATGGGCATTTTTTCTTTGAAATTTTAAATACCCAGGATCTCGACTGGCTTTGTCGTATGATGCAAGGAGCATCAGTTCAAAGGCGACTGTTCTCTCTCTCTTGAAAAACAACGAGAAACTTGCCATGAAAACAAGGTTGCTTGTTTCAAGCCCCCAAATCCTAGATGGGCTGTGTAACTGTGCAATGACCTTGGATCTTTTTGTATCCAGAGAAGAAATCAACAACCTGCAGAACTCAGAAACACTAGCAATTCCCTGGATTAAAAGCCATTTAATCAGATTCCTCCCCTGTCTCAATATCAGCAGCATCATTCTGAGTGGAGAAATTTCAAACAAGAAAGAGTTTGCATCACTCTTGTCGACCTTAAACTCCATTAGTTCTGCCCTAGTTCACCTCAAGCTCAATCATGGGATCAAGGTCTCTGTCGCTCTTCCACTGTCATTCTTAGAGGACATCTCCACTGTACCCCATGCACAGCAGAAGAATTTCATGAAAATACTGCAGTTGATCACAGATTTCCTGAGAGATACAGGGTCCTTCATGGTAGTCGAAACCTCAATCAGTAGAAAACTCGAGATGACCAACCATAATTTCCAGTCACTACACTATTTCATCAATCAAATCATGGTTTTTGGTTTTCCATATTCAGAAATTCCAGTCTATGTAATACTTAAGAATTCCCCAGAATCCTATTATAAAGCAATAGAAAAAGCCATCGAGAAAGAAACCCAGAGCGTGCCTCGAATTCATGCAATTTTTAGAGAGATAAACCCGGAGAAAGAAAACCCAAATAGAGTTTTAGTCCAAAAAGAAAATGAGAACTCTGTTTCCAATCGAAGAGAGCTCGATGAAGCTAACCCAACTCTGGTCCCAGTAAACCCAACCACACCCTTGATAACTCCCTCAGTCCCAACTATAAATCCGGTCACTACACCAGGCCCTGTCATCACCAATCCCGTCACTACGCCTGTCACGAACCCAGTTACAACACCTACAACTGTAACCACCAATCCCATCATGACTCCTCCCACAAGTCCAGTAACAACACCAGTCACAACCCCGATCACAGTAACCCCACCAACAACCACTATCCCTTCCACCACACCCATCACAGTCCCGCCTACCACTCCAGTAGTGACACCAGTGACAAATCCAGTACCCACACCTGGCACCAATCCCATCACGACACCAGTTGTGACACCGGCCACACCATCTGGCACTATCCCAACCAATCCAGTGACTACACCGACGACCACAACTTCGCCTGGAGTAGCTGGGCAGGGCTGGTGCGTGGCAAAGACTGGCGCGTCTGACACGGCATTGCAGCTTGCTTTGGACTACGCTTGTGGAAAAGGTGGGGCAGATTGCTCGGCCATACAACAGGGAGGAGTGTGTTATAACCCCAGTACAGTTCGAGACCATGCTTCCTATGCCTTCAATAACTATTACCAAAGGATTCCAACCCCAATTAGCTGTGACTTTGGGGGAACTGCCATGCTCGTTACTACCAATCCAAGTATGTATTTGTCTATGTTTGGTGCTTTTGTATGGGAATTTTTACTCATGTCCAATGGATATGGAAAAACATACTCCATCAGGGTATTGACCATATAATGAAATGGTGGTCAAAGATGGGTATTTAAAAGAGTTCCCACCAACGGAATTATGTCCTGTTCTGTTATTCCCACACTCTCCATGCTGATGCTGACCCTGATGGACAGTGATTACAATCCATTAGGATATAGTGTAGCTTCCCTATTTATAACAACTTCAAATTACCTACACTAATCATATAGTGACAATTATGAACATCTTTTGCAGGTTCTGCGTCTTGTGTCTACCAATCTGCCAGTACCAGGTAAAGTTCCATTATCATTACACATAATCTCAAACTTTGATTGGTGGCTTTTAATAATATACTTGGCTGACTCTGAATATTGCTGCAGCTCAAGCTCATCTGTGCTGAACACAAGCAACCCTACGGGTGCCACAGTTTTCGGAACAGACCCTCCCAGTGCAAGCAATGCTCATTCACTCTTAGCCAGCATGCCCTTGATGCTCAGTGTGCTATCCTTGATGCCACTACTCATAGTTTGAAACAGCTCACCTCAATCCAAGCATTTTGAGTACAGAGATGTGGTAAGAAAAGGCCTACTTCTCATCCTGAAGATCATTGTATTTGATGTAATATAAAAGGCTTCAGTGTACTAACCACGGTCCTGATCAAACTGTGTCCAAATAGCAATGCAGATCCAAATGATTAACATCTGGTTGTACCTGTAACTCCTTGGTAGGTCAAGGTTTCTGTTAGAAGGTCAGCATTTGTAATGAAAAAATGCAGGAGAATCTTTGTTCATTCTAACGGTTTTAGAATGCAGTAACTTCTCACACAAAAGAAAGAGGGGGGGGGGGGTGGGGGAGACTTAGAAGGAGCAATTTGGTTCAATATCTTGGAGAGAGAAAACCAAAGTCATAATTATATCTGAATCTTCTTTAGTAATGCATGGGTACATGCTAACATTAAAAAGTCCCAACATTCACAGCTACATGTTACATTCTTCATAATATTAAATATAGCTCCCCTGCAGACTTTCATGGATCTTCTTTTTACAATGAGGAAAGTTATATCTGAAATGTTGCATGACAATACAAAATCTATTGAAGGAAAAGATAAACCTAAGTGGGCATTTTTCACCGCTTTGCAAATACCACCAAAACCACCATTGACATGGAAACTATGAATTTGAAGCCAGAGGTCTCCCAAAAACTATGCTTCTCAGATCGTCCGCCCTCACCCTGTTTCATCAGGGTTAACTGCTCCATCAGTTCCTTCAAAGCTTTATCCCTTCTTTCACCCATCTGAAAAGAAAAACAAAATGCCAAGTGTCCTCAGTTCTAAGGCCAAGCATGCATTTACAAGTATGAAAAAAATGTATCACCATGAAATTAATGCAAAATATAAGGAGAATTAACTAAAATCGAATCAGGCCTGAACATAATCCTTTGACTCAATAAAATGAATAAACTTTGTTATGCATGTACATCACATTCTAATGGAGAGAGCAGCTCAAACATGAGATGGCATATGAAGCTAGCAAATACTAAGTGCAAAACACTCAGAAATGCCACCTATGGAAGGGAAGTAGCACCAAGAAGAGTGCACACCTGTGTGTGGATGGATGTGTGTATGTACCTAACACAAAGTACATACGCCAACAACTAAATATGGTCTCATTTTTGTTGAAACTTCAAACACGTCTAGCACTCAGAAGTGCTTGTGCAAGATAATTCCAGAATCATAGCAAGTATGATCGTACATGCGTATACCTTCTGCTGATGTAGCTGCCTCTTAGTAGCCTACAAGTACAAAGGTTGGGTGTACAACAATAAATAACGAAGGAAAGAACACCTTCACATCAACCACTTAATAGTTCCAGCTAGGTTGCATCCTAATTTTAGATCCCAACACCAGTTGTGGTACTAATTCACATTGCCCACCAGATATGCGGTAATTGACAACAATCATTTTCATCATCATCATCATATCCTTTTTCAACTAATTATGGTCGGCTACATGAATTTTAGTCTGCAAATTCTGGACTCATGAGAAGCTTTGGCAAAATTTTATGTTAGCTGCCTATTTAACACAACCCAGGCTTGGGACGGGTTTAGAGAAAGTTTAAGGTCCTCACCGTCTTAGACCAGGTAATTGACAAGAATCCTAACATTAAATTAAATTCCATGGTGGCCCAAATTTCCAACATTAAATAATGCATATTATCCCTAAAAGGCCATTCATTCTTCTGGACAATAGCACCATTTAAAGTTTTATATATACAATTCAAATTTTCAAATTTGCATGCCATTACCTTGTTTTTTTATAGGCACCATGAATCATACTAAAAAGATAATGATAGAAGTAACTACAGAATAACAGAATTAGTTTATACAGGTTTCAGGGGCAAATGAGATCAAGGATGGTACAAGAAGCAATAGGAAGTATTAATAAGAAATCGAAAAAAAAAACACCACTCAATATATAAAGTAATAATAAATAATTCAGAAAATCCAAAAAACACTGGGGTGAATGTTCTATACCCTTTGGAGCTTCCGAGTTTGAGAACGAGCTTCTTGTAGACAAAATTCCAACTTTAAGACCCTTTTCTTCAGTTCCTGGTCAGCTCTGCGTTGCTTCTCTAACTGGTCAGAGTAAAGGTAAATTGGGATCGAATAAATATTTATAGTATGACAAGAAAAGTTAAATTGCTGATGTGAGAGTGGATAACGTAAGCAGCTGCATAAAAACAAGAAAAATACCTGAGATTCAAGTTCCTGAGTCTTCAGCTTCCAGTGTGCAGACATAATCCTAATTTCATCTCGAAGTCTAGCTATTTCTTCATCTTTTGCACTTAAATGTTTAGTTATATTCTCAAAATTCTTAGGAGATACCTCTTCTAAAAGCTTTCGTAGTTCACAATCCTTGCTATCCCCAGCTTTAGAAACTGCAAGCTTAATCTCACGTTCAATTCTTAAAACTTCATCTCTCAACTCTTTTTGAGAGATTTCTCTCTGTTGTAGATCATGTTGCAAGTTATCTATCTGCTTTCCTAAACGGTCAACCCGAGCCTCATGATCTTGCAGTGAACTGTTTTTGTCATCTACCTCTTGCAACAAAGTTAAGCATTGAAGATGTGCAGATTGAGCAGAGGCTGCACTGGCATCGGCAGTTGCTTGAGCAGCAGATAGCTGTGATCTCAAATCGTCTAACTCCTTATGATACTGCAGGAAAACGAGTAAACTTTCAATAAAGAAAAATAGCCATTATCAACCCTTTGAATATGTTCAAATATGAGAACTGAACCCCCCCCCCTCCCCGGAATGTTAAATGAATGTTAGAACTACAATTAAATCTTCACGATAGCACCAAAAAATTAAAAACAAAAAGAAGAAAGAAATCACATTCCTTTCCAACAAATGCAGTTCGAGTTAGTATTTCACCATGGACAACTTTAATTTTGACAAGCAAATTCATTGGCAAGTAGCAATCTTAGTATCTACTGCTTTTAAACAAGATTGCTTAGCAAACGAAAAGATTTCCAACTTTCTATTTTGGAAGTCTCAAGGCAACACTGTAGGAAGACACCAAATTAAGAATGACCATCAACATAGTATCCTTCAAAAAAGGGAATGGCCATAAAACAGCACCAACAAAAATGGTAATAACAAGGTCACTCGAATAATGTGAACAGGAAGATGCCATTTTCTAGGTTATGTCCAAAAGCATAGAAATTGGGCATATATAACCATTTTACAAAAGAGAATTATATATATATAACCCTGTTGCAACAAATATCATACATAAATCACACAAACAAAATAGCAGCTAACTTACCCAGTCTTTTTTTTTTTGAAATGTTAAAGGTGGGAATGCGGAGGGGCTGCCCTCCACTCTACTGAATTTCCTATGCAAGGTATCAACTACCACGGGTGTTTAAGGACAATATCCCAATTCTTTGACAGCTTGCACATTTATTATTCATTTCTAATCACAATAGGTGGTTTGCCCCATACAATAAGATGTGCAAACATTTGAATATTGGAATTACAAATAAAAAATATATAAAGTGGTCTATAATATTGTATGCTAAATGCAACAGTAGAAAACCGCTCTTGCTGCAAATTTAATAAAAATTTCATGAACATGATCATGTTTATAGAAAGTATCTACCATCCAGAAAAAAGTATCAAACTAAAATGGCCTTTTAGCAAGACCAATAAGTCCATTGACAAACCTAACAAATATCAGAACAAGAACCCCATTTTCAAATTGAATGATTTGGCACACTTCAGCTGCTCTTAATATGTCGGATCCAAAACCCTAACTTCAATATCCTTACCAGTACATAAGCCAATGAATTACAAGAGTCAGTGCATCCTATCCAAAAATTAGGATACCATTATAAAGACCAGTGGTGCCTTTAGTATTGCATACAAAAGGAGCTACCTATAGGCCACATTTGAAAGATTTATGTCCATAACTCTATGGTAATCTTCATTCAAAAGGGAAAATTGCATGCTTAAATGGAATTGTCCTCACACATAAAGTCCAAGACCCCTAATTTAAGATAGTTACTCAGTTCACAGTCCCATAAATTACTAGTCAGCACTGGATAGCCATAAAATGGGATTGCAGTGAGAAGCTAAGCAGTTCCTTGAATACTGCATGCATATAATTATATAAACCTTCATGCTGACTACACTAGAAGCACTGAAAAGGAATGTGACAATATCCCAGTCCTCAATCAAACAGTAATGCTGTAAACAGTTTGAAATATGTTTGAAAAAAATTATAAAAAAATAAATAAAAAGTGGAAATTGTACTCTGAGCATTATTTTTCAAATTGTTTATAATGGATCAACAAGATAAAAAGTTAAGATACATGACCATGAAGAAGGAAATGAAAACAGAAAAGAATAAAAGCAAAACATAAATCCAATCCCTAAAAAGTAATCCAATTTTTTGACAGTTGAATTTCCAATATAAAATACCTGTTGACGCAAGCTGCAAGCTATTAAATAAGGGCCAGAAATGTGAGGATTTAAATGTCAGCTTTACAAGTAATTTCTTCGAACTTTGTCAGTGGGAAACATTTACAAATCGCTTGCCGATGGCAGTATAGAAGAGCATTCAATGAATGAATCCCTAAATCTAAGTCATAGAAAAACCTTCCCCAAATAAACATTATGTCATGTCACAAACACTCCACACTCCACCCACTTATACATCAGTGTTTATGCCACAAATTAGACCAATTAATACATCATTCAAAACATAAAGCCACAGAAAAAAATCACCATGCTGCATCAAATCATCATGCATGAAAAAATCCAAAGGTTTTAGGTCACCTGCACGTTAACAAACCTAACAATAACCATTGTTGTCAAAAAAATTACAAAAATCTAATAGGCCATATTTGTCAAGAATGCCAAGAAAACCATTAGTTTGCAACTTACAAAAAGATCACCACTTTGTTCAATGCGTAAAATTTCTATGCTTTTGGAGATAAATAGAAACCTAGTTACAAGGACAAATAAAAAAAATTCAGAGAAGAAAGCAACAACAAAGGAATTACTAAGGAAGTGGAATAAGAAATTAAGAAGTAAAACAAAGATGCATGACAAACCATAGTTGTAATCTATCCATAATTAAAATTATTATCTGCCATCATACAACATGACAGAGAAAACAACCCAAGGAGATCCAAGAAAATGTTTTCATTAAACTCTAGCAAAATTTACATCAAAGGAAAAGAACACAGTCAAACGACAAATAACCACATCAACTAACATGCTCAGCATTAGATGAAGAAGCCTGCAACTGCCCGTTACGCTCTTCCAATCTTTTCTGCAATCTCTGTATCTCCTCCTCCATGCTTTTTGCCTTAGACTCTGCAGCCTAGAAAAACCCCAGCTATTTAAAACACCATAACCAGTCCAGAACATAATAATAAAGACCATGTTTGCTGAATAAATACTAATGGAAACAAAAAATTCAAAAAAAAAACCTTTCGGGTCTTGGATTCTCGAGCAAACAATTCTTCCTGTGACAACATGCGACTGCGAACATCTTTGAGCTCCGCCGCTAAGGAAACAACATCAGAAGCCATGCGTCTAAAGCTTTGCTTCTTCTCATGGAGATCCTTCAAAAGAGGATCCAACTCTCTCACGGCCTCACCCATCGAATAATTGCCCCAAATACACAGAATGAAAAGTAGAAAAAGAAGAAAATAAATAACCAAAGACCGACCCCTTCTACACTCAATTCCAGAGCACAAGCTCCATAAAAGACAGAGAACAACAAAGAAAGAATAATCCCCAAAAATTGTCCCTTCGTTCTCTCTAGTCCAAAATTCAAGCCCAACAAAAACCAGGGATTCAAAAAAAAAAAAAAAATGAAAAATGAGAAAGTTTCCCTTTATCACTCAAGTCCAAAGCACAAGCCCTACGACATCTAAAAAAAGCACAGCCACAGACGACGAGGCTTTGAGTCGTCGGTCCATTGAAAGCCTTGCCTTGACTCCCATACCTGCACACATTTAATTGGGGTAAATTTAACAACAACCCAAAAAAAAAAAAAATCAAAATAAAAATTAAAACTACCAGGCGTGTTAAAATCTTGAGCATGCAAGGAACCACCTCGTATAAAAGGTCTTATACTTTCCCATAAATTTTACCCATAACAACAAAAAAAAAATCTCACAAAACCACCAAATATAGTCACACTTGCAGAGTTACAAGAGAAAGAGAGAGACAGAGAGAGGGGGTTGAGAGATTCACAGAAAGAGAGAGGTTGGGTTGAGAGTTTGGAGAGAGAGAGAGAGAGGTGGGGTCGAGAGTTTAGAGAGAGAGAGGTGGGGTTGAGATATTTAGATAGAAAGGGTTAGGACAAAAAGGAAGCTCAACAACACCCCACGAACACGTATTGGACTCCCAGGCGAACACCAGCCACGAAATAGCAGGTGAATGGTGTGAAATCTGTAATTGTTGCTATTTTAGAGAAAGAAAATACAGAGCAATAAAATCACAAGAAAGGCGTGCTTACTAAACACAGGAAAGCAAATGAAAAAATTAAAAAAAAAAAATCTTCCATTAAAAGGCCCTCAATTTCAAGAGAAGCCAGCTTCATACTTCTATGGAGAAATACTTGTCATAAAATTTGAGCCCTAATTGAGCAGACGGAGAGAAAATAGTTCAAAATTCCCAACAAAACGCATGAGAGATGCACCAGAAAACCTCTTTTTTTGCGAAGCACCAATGGATTCTAAAAATTATGGATATGAAAATAAGTTTGTTACGACGAAGTTTTTTCTTCAATAATCCACAGAATAAGGCCGTATTTGTGCTTCAAAAAAAGGCCATAGATTTCTTCAATAACAATAAAAAATAATAATCTAATAAGATTTCATTTTGAATGCACAGATTAATTTAGTGTAAACAGGAAGGCACAGTCATCATTCAATGAATCTCTTTATTGAAATGGAAACAAATCAAGGGCACAAAACCTGCCATTTTCAATTTTTTCTCGTTTTCACCGTAGTAAAACCAGACAAAGAGCGGTCAAACTCTCTAGTCTCCCTTTTACTTCAAATAAACAGCAGGGAAACAGTAAACCACAAAAAATACAGGGCCAAGCCATGGACCGCCTAACAATGCCAGTTCCCAGAGACTCTAGACTTGTCCCTTTCAAACTGTTCCCAATAAATTACAGTAAAAACCAGAAACAAACAACGCTGTAAAACTCTAAATCACCCTCTTTAACCTTGAATTCAAACCCTAATTCCTCAAACTTTCTGCTCCTTTTCACACTCAATGGACCGTTAACATTCATTGTTCGTATTTATTAAAAAAAGAAACAGCCGTTCCAGACGCCATGAAAACCTCTTTTCTTTACCAAAAAATTCAAATTTTAAACTTATAAGACAAAAAAAAAAAGAAAAATACAACGGAAAACCGGTATCACACCTGAAAAAAAAAAACAATGGAACAGCACAGAGAAATTTATAAAGAAAAAACAATACCCTTTAAAAATCTCCGAAAAATGAGATAAAACTAGAGAAAATGTAATTATGTTTGTAAATAAAGCTTGTGATAATGGAGAAAAATACACTTACGAGCTCCAAAGCGAGCTTTAATGGAGTTAACAGTCTTGGGCTTTCGCGGTTAAACCAGAGGAAGCTGGTTTTGTGAAATTAAACAGAGCATTGCTTCGGTGAATCCGAGCCTGCACGTAGGGGACGAAGCAAGTGAGAATCAAATACGAGTTTGACTTTGCGCGGCAAACCCAAATTTTGGAAGCTCTACTGTCAGACGTCCATCTAGAGAAACCCAACGGTTACGATCGTCTGACGGAATATTCTAGATAAATCAATTTAGAAATATTTCACGTGCATTACAACTAGTCGCCACGTGTCTACGAAATACCGGCTAAATTTATGGGGATATTTAATATGGAAATATCAAAATAGTTAAAATTTTGTGGGCTTGCACTTACCTAACACTCCAAGCTCTAAGCTAACAGTCCAAACCTGTATTCGCAAAATGGAACCGGAACAATTAGCCAGACGGAAGTGGTTTCAACCGCGCTAATTGCATAAGTCCTGTCCGTCACAAACAGTGTTGAAAAAAATAAAAATAAATTTTTTACTAAAATATGAAAAACATATAAAAAATGATTAAAATAAAACATATTCAAATAAAATTGAAAATTAATGAAACAAATAGATTTTAACCTATTTTATATTTTTCAAGTGCTATTTTAAAATTTTTCTAAAAAAGATAGAAAAATATAAAAGTGAGTATTAATGATCAAAATAATTTTTAATCTTTATTATAATGTAAATAGTATTTAAAAATACATTACAAATCAAATTTCTTATTTTTTAGAATTTATATATATTTTTTTATTTTATATATTACTTGTTAAATATTTCATCTCTTATAGGTATTTTGATAAAAAATTTAATAAATGAGTAAATAAATAATAACCATTAACAATAATAACAAATATCTTGATTAATCACTTTTCACGTTCAAACGATATTGATATAACTGTTAAATATATCATAATGTTAAAAAAAAAATCATTTTTTTTTCAGGTCTAAATTTATAGAGTGAGATCCACGGAGGTAAAATTGGTTTTAAGAAGATAATATTTAGTAAAATAAAACGATCAAATTTGTGAAAAAAACAAAAAAAAAAACACAATTAAGGTATTAACAGTCCCAAAATTTTAAGTTTGATGGGGTACAAGGGATTTTGGTGAACCCAAATAGACTAATAAGAAGTTTTAGGGAGGGGGTAAAAGTCATTTTTCCTAAAATTTAAAGCTTAAAAAAAGTATAGAACGAACGGATCTATGAAAACTTTAAAATCTTGAAAATTGATCGTCAATAAATATATTACTAGATGCACTGTTTCCAAAAGTTTAAATCCATGTTATTTATTTTTCTCATGTCCACACATATTGAGGTCGAGATGATCAATTTGAGGATAGTTGGGCCTCAAAAACCACACCTTGTAGTGAAATCTTTGAAGTGCGCCACAATTTGATTGAACAAAAGGTTGGTTTCGAACTTCCAACAATATGTTTTAGGCATTTATTGACCATCAATTTTAGCTACTTCTTTGATTTTACTCCTATTATCAATAAAGTCTGGATAATTTTAAAATCTTTAGATCTATAACATCCCTCCAACGTTCTAACTTTACATCAACGATACCTCTAGTCTCATCAATCAAAACTATATTATTTGCGAACAACATACACCACTATACATCATCTCATATGTTCCTGGTCAACTCGTTCATAGGCAAAACAAATAGATATGGGCCCATTTGAATGCCCCATTGCCATTGAGAACTCACTTATGTCCCTACTAATTGTCACTACACTAGTTAGTGTTCTCGTGTACATATTTCTCACTACGTCAATATAGCCTATTGTGACTCACTTCATTTCCAATACCTACCAAATTAAATCTCTATGTATCTTATCGTATGTTTTTTCTAAATCAATAGATATTATGTGGAGGTATTTTCTCTTCGCTCTATACTTCTCAACCAGTTGCCTAAATAGGAAAATGTCTTCAATAGTTGACCTCCTTAGCACATAACCAAATTGATTTTTTTGATGCACTTGTTTCACATCTTAGTCTTTGCTAAACCACTCTCTCCCACAGCTTCATAATGTGACTCATAAGTTTAATCCCTCAATAGATTATACAATTATGCATGTCTCATTTGTTATTCTAAATAGGTACGTCAATATTTTTTCTCCATTTTTTGGGCATTTTATTTGTTCTCTGCACCTTGTTGAACAACTTGGCAAGCTACCAGTTGTCAATATTCTCCATGTAGTTCCTAACTTCTATCGTGGTACTATTTCGATCTTAAAGTGTTTCCTATTTTCATCTTAATAAAAAGCTTATCTCACTTCAAATGTCATAATCCTGCGATGTAACTTGACCCCACTCTCATTAATGTCAAAGTTTTATCTTAACGTTGTGTTTCCATAGTGCTTGCTATTTAACAAATTTGAAAATAAATTATCCACATTTTGCTTGCTATTTAACAAATTTGAAAATAAATTATCCACATTTTGTTGACCTCGTCATCTTTTACCAATATCATGTGATCTTCACTCTCAACGCATTGAATGTGATTGAGATGTATACACTTCCTCTATCTCGTTTTTGCTAGTTTGAATACATATTTTTCACCTTCTCACGTCACCAGTTAATTGTAACGATTATTACATGCTTTAAGTTTAACCTTACTTGCTTCTTCTTTTGTATTTTTCTTAGCATTTTTAACTTCTTCCAAGTCTTGATCATTTATATTACATTGTTAAGGTTTATACAATATCATTTTTCATTAATAGCTTTCTTTTTTATTGTCGAAATTTAATTTCCCTCTAATTTATCCTAAAACTTATTTTTTCACTTTCTTAATACAGTCAATCATATCTGATATTTAAAGTAACAAATATTTTTAAAATAATATATAATCAAGATATCCTTACTTTTCAAGGAATCGGGCTTTGCTTGAGTGGTTAGCCAGTGATGTTTGGCAACGTTATGTCTCAAGTTCGATTCCTACCACTAAACAACAATTAAAAAAACATAGATGATAAGAAATATGAACATACTAAATTTAATCTTAATTAGTTGGATAGATAATAAATGAAATAAAATAAAATAAAATTAATACTCTCAAAATGGAAAATTGACCGTAAAATATGAAATATATGGGATTAATTTGAAATTTTAAAATAAAATAATAATTTTTTTATAAATTTCTCAGATAAAGATAAAGGAAAAAAAAAATTCCTGTAAAAGAAAAAAGGAAAGGAAAATAAAATATGGAGAGTGATAGAGGCGAGTAGGTTAGCATCCAAAAAACAAATACAAATAAAAAATAAAACGTCACATGACAAGAGTCTGATTCCAAACGAGTGTCGACTGAGCACTATCCACTGCCACGTGGCTGATTTGGAAACCCAAGAATGACAAAACCGATGAGACAAAATGGGACGACAAAAGGGCAGGGCATCATTCAATCATCGTTTTTCAAGTAGTCCCTGGAGACCACTAAATAACAATGCGCCCCCCCTCCCTTCGGTTCCCATGCTCTCTTTCTTTCTCCCTTTCATGGCTACATCCCTATATCCCATCTCTCCCTCACATGTTTATACCACTAAATAACCCGCTTTTGTTTATCCCAGGTATCCATCACCCCATGTCTTGTGGTCCAATTAGGGCTGGCAACCGCCCGTGCCAGCCATGGTTCTAGCCCAGCCCTAATCCCTGCAAGGCTAGCCCAAGCCCTGCATAGCTCTAATCAGGGTGAAGAGGTATTTGCCTTAGTCCGGCCTTGGCCCTATTAGGGCCAGGTCGGGCCGGTCCAAAAAAGAGAGTAAGAATATAAGGGTCGGCCCAGACCAAACAGGGCTGGCTTTGTCTTGGACTTGGCCCGACATGGACATACCCTTGGGTTGTGGTGGCTTAACCGTCAACCACATCTTGTGGCACGTACCTAGTTTTTTGGGGTTAGGCTGACGGATGCGAATGAGATTGCATGGCACATTGCCAAGCCTATGCCCAAGGGATTAAAAGTAGGATCGGTGGGGTGGATTGTCCAGTCATATAGATATGTGTTGGATCACTAAATTGGCAATCTAGATCGGTCGGGATCTGTCTGAATCAAGTATTTAAAAATATTAAAAATAAATAAATCAAAATTAAAATTAAAATTAAAATAAAAATAAAAATAGGGGCTTATGCGACATGAGTTTAGGAGAAGTAAAAAAATATTTGACAAGCTTAAAATAAAAAAAGAAAATGTATAAAAGAGGAGTTTTAGTGGGTAATAATACGGGACCTATACCAACCTGAAACTATTCCAGTTTTGATTAGTTCTCCATTTGAATCGGCCATCCAAATCAGGAATTGTAGAGCTTTAAAACATTGTATTTGC